TCCCCGGAAGCCCCGCCTCCCCGGAAGCCCCGCCTCCCCAGGAGCCCCGCCTCCCCAGGAACCCCGCCTCCCCCGAAGCCCAGCTCCAACAAGGCTGGGTTCTTGAGTGGGTGAGCAGGGTGGACCATGTGGTCATGAGGACATGATCCCAACGTTTGAGGTCTCAACAAAGTAGAGTTGTCCTAGACCTGCAGTGTGCTTGACATTACATTTGAAGAAGGGATTTCTTCACTGAAGTTGGCTGTGGCCTGGAAATGTGTTTACTTTTCAATGAAGTATAAAGGCCTTGTAAGCACTCACAGGACTGGACCAGGTTTTTTTCATATTTGCCTGGCACAATATATCAGTTATTTATCAATTGTACATAAGTTTATTCCTCAGGAATATCTATTAGTCTCATATTTATTCATCAGGAATTCTGGAATATCACCATTGTTTGAGCTATTTTAGTTTGACATTGACTCATCAATAAATATTTCTTGAGCAGTGTGCTGGCCCTTGGGAATATAAAACAGAATACTACCTATTTCCTGAACCCAAAATAATTTCTATTAGTCTTTATTTATTTCCAGACTTACACCAAGTCCAACATGTGGTTTACCTTAGTTAAAGAAAACCCAGGGCTCTCAACAAGAAACGAGAACTTTTCTTTTCTTTTCCTTTTTTTTTTTTTTTTGTAAATAGAAACCATAGAAAAACAATTTAAGATGATTATTTCTATCTTCTCAACTCTACTTTTTTTTTTAAAGTTCTGATTAACAGTGTACGATTAAGTTCATTCGTTTAGTTGTTCAGTAGACCTTGGGCTCACAGTTTGAGGGGGCAAAGTTGAAGCAAACTCTGACCCCACAGAGTCACAGAGGGTGACTTTAGTGAGGACATCTTGCAGCCCTTGGGGGAGGGTCCTCCAGCGAGGTCCCCTGCTGCTTTGGCTTCCTTTTACCTTCTCTTTGGGCTTTGGGCTGCTTGCAGGTTCCCATCACTGCAGGGCAGACAGACTGACAGCCAGTTCTGCTCCTTCTGGAAAATTTCCAGTGTTTTATACTTGTCAGATGACTTTTCTCAAGAAAACAGATTTCATGAGCCACTCTCTTTGCTCCTGGACTGTTGAAACCCTGGCAGATATGATTTAAGAATCTGAACAAAGAAACATTTAAAAGTACATGACACTAATTTGCAATGCAGCGTACGTCTCCGTCTTGGATTTTACATCGTCTCTGAAGCCTACGGTGGTCATTTGAGTTATCCATCAGCCACAAAGCAGGCTTTGTCTGATTTTTGTCGTATCCATTTGTTCTTGTCTTCCTTGTCTCTCTTACCACAATATTCCCACGATCACAAATACATCCACTTGTGCCCTGTTTGAATTTCACACTTTTACTAAACATCTTGACATGAAATCACAGAGTGAGATTTTTCTTCCTTCCCCGAAATCACTGATGAAAAGATTCTGTTCTGTGTGTGGTCTATAGAATGGCTCAGTTGGAGACGGGATGCACAATGTTTCAATGGATGGTACAGCTCTTCATCTCAAAGCAGTTGCTGGTGACTTTTCTGAGCTCAAGTGTCCTGGAGAAATCACATAAAATTAATTATAAGACCATTTATCTTTCATCTTTGTCTTTCATCAATTTCTCCTTTTATTTTAATGGGTTTTCTGTATATACATCACCTCATGTCTGTTTACTCTTTCATAGTTGTAAAAACCATCTCTCTCTCTTGCATTATATGGGGGAAAAGTATAAATGATTATCTCAGTAATTATTTAATTCTTATTCTTCTTATTTCTTATTCTTAATTAAGAATTAATTCTTAATTATATATTTTATGTATTTACATAAGGCTTTGCTGTGCCAAGGTCTCTGATCTAGTGAAACAGTTTCCATCTGTGAAAACCTTGTAAGCCTTTATAAATTTCCTACAATTTTAGGACTTTCCACATGACAGAATAAAGGATTCTATGGCAGTTAGTAAGAAATTAGAGGCTTACATAATCCTTGGGTATGAAAAATGAGAGATGTGATGTGAAGAAACCTTTAGAAGAAGAGCTGTTTTGAAATGTACTTTCTTACTCGTTCAAACATTAATTCAACCAGGTTTTGTTAAGTGCCCGTTAAGTACAGTGCTGGAGACTAGGGACACCACACTAACACAAAGCCCCTACCTTTAAACATAGCACTGGTGGGGCGCCTGGGTGGCTCAGTCGGTTGAGTGTCGGACTTCAGCTCAGGTCACGATCTCACAGTCCGTGAGTTCGAGCCCCGCGTCAGGCTCTGGGCTGACAGCTCAGAGCCTGGAGCCTGCTTCCGATTCTGTGTCTCCCTCTCTCTCTGCCCCTCCCTCGTTCATGCTCTGTCTCTCTCTGTCTCAAAAATAAATAAATGTTAAGAAAAAAAATTTTAAAAACATACCACTGGTTAGGAGGACAAAATATTTTATGGTTGCATTTTTCTGTAGATTTGTTGCTTGTTTTGTACTTTGGGAATTGCCTTTGAATGAGGTTTTTTAACAAGGAAGTAATTTGAAGACAAATTATTTTCGAATGAAGGAAGGAGGAAAACTAGAGGCTTGGTAACAGCAACTTTCTCTTTGACATCTCATATTTACATCACACTGAAAGCTGTGAGGGGCAGCGTTGATTTTCGCCTGAATTGATCATGAGCTTAGAATAGCAAAGAGGATTTTACGCCTGATGAGTTGGCAATAGATAATTTCTTTTACAAAAAATCCTTTCCATTCGAAGGAAATAATTTCTGGAGAGTACTGGGAAATGGGAAAATCTTCTGCCACTGCTATAGATACTTTTCTGTTTTCTTGTCTTTTCTGTTACCCTATAATAATTTACTTTTCCTTCAGTTAGCATGGTTAAGTATGTGGATTATCATCCCAATATGGCAGGGCTTGAATGTAAAGTACAAGACAAAAAACAAAAGAAAAACAAACAAATTCATTAAGGGAGCTGGCTGACTCTTGATTTCAGCTCAGGTCAAGATCTCACAGTTTTGTAAGTTTGACCCCCACATTGGGCTCTGCCCTGACAGCACAGAGCCTGCTTGAGATTCTCCCTCTCTCTCTGTCCCTGCCCCCACTTGCATTCTCTCTGTCTCTCTCAAAATAAGTAAGTAAACTGAAAAAAAAAAAAAAGCTCATTAAGATATAAAGGATTCCCTAGGGTTTCCCCAGGTTCTGTATTTGGTTAATGTAAAAGAAATAAGATTTTACTCGTATACTTTTCAATTTTGTTTACATTATTGTTAAATTTTAAAAAGTAAATTACACTTTGTGCTTTGCTTCTAGTTTTTCAGCTGCTATAGGGAGACAAGCTGGATTATTTGCTTTTCTATTTTCTTTCAGAAATAACTATGTACCTGCTAACTGCTGAAAAAGTAAAATCGTCTGTAATCAGTTTAATAAGCATGTAACCATACTTTGTGGGATAATTACACAAGACAATGTTTCTATAAGTGACTTATTTTAAGACTTTACAGTGTTAGGTCTTCTCATTTAAAAAAAAATGGAAGTCATTTTCTTATTTACTGTCACTTAAGTCAGAAATAACCTAAGGAAATACAGCTAACTGTGGAAGAGCTTTGTTCACAAAGATAGATGACATAGCCTCATTTACAACATACACAAAAAGCCAAAGGCCTAAATGCCCAACAATAATGAAATGGTTAAATAAATGATGAGAGATCCAAGCAACAAAATCTTATGTAGCAAGTTATATTTATGAAAATTATGTATATATATATACATATATATACATGCATATATATATGCATATATATACATATATATGCATGTATATATATGTATACATATATACATATATGTATGTATACATATATACACACACATATATATATACATATATATATACATATACACACACAAGCAAATTATACTTAAGGAAAGCTTTGTTAACATTATGCTATCATATATAGTACATGATAAATATCTTAGTCCTAACTGTGAAATATTGATTAGGACCAGTGGATTTGATTTCCTTATTTATTTATTTATTTATTTATGAAATAACCCTCCCCCTTTTTTAAAAGTTTATATATTTATTTTGAGGGAGAGAGAGAGGGAGAGAGAGAGAGGGAGCCAGTGGGGAAGGGGCAGAGGGGGGACAGAGGATCCGAAGTGGACTTTGTGCTGACAATAGAGAGCCTGATGCAGGGCTTGAACTCACAAATTGTGAGATCATGACCTGAGCTGAAGTTGGTTGTTTAACCGACTGAACCATCCAGGCGCCCCTTGATTTTCTTATTTTAATATTTAAGGCCTAGAAATTGGCCTAAAGCAGGGAATATCCCAACAGAAATTCCATTTAGATGAGAAATCCATTTAAATTATTCAGCTTGTTGGAGAATAGCAAAGGTCTTACTATAGCTATGTCAACAACTTTGTGATAGTTTATGTAAATAGCTGCTTTTATTTGGTAGAATTAACTAAAATAAAGTCATAGGAACATAACTAATTATCTAATTTGTGCTTTAAACTATAGTTTGACTGCAAATGAGGTACTCTGGAATGACTTCATCACCTATGATAACTCTTAATCTGCCCTTTTGGTTTCCTGCATCTGTTTCCATAATCTCTCAATTTAGGAAACACCATTGGCTTCTGCTGAGAATTAGTGTAGGAATTCGGTGATGAATGCTCAGGGCATGGATAGTGTTAGGAATCAGAGGTTTTATTATAATTTTGAACCTAAAACTAAGAGATCACAAAGAGAAGTGATCAGTCTGTTTGATCTTTATCACTTTGGGGATAATGAAAGTTCAGTTTCTTTGGAACACTATGTTAGATCTTTCCACTGATTGATTACATTTTCATCTTCACCTGGAATTAGTTCTTTTCAAATAACGTAAATATTGCTATTAATATTTAAGATAACCTTGTAAGTAATTAAAAGATTGATTAGTCTGAACTGTTATCTTTGAGTTAATTAGATGCATTTCATAGTGGATAACACATTTGTTTTTATATTTTAGGACTTGAGCCGTGTTCCTGATTTTATACAGATACCCTTGGGGGTATGGCTCAGGGGTAGAGCATTTGACTGCAGATACCATGGCTCCGTATATAAAGGACATTCGCTAAAATGGTAATTTGAAAAATATTATATTATTTTAATTTAAAATATTTAAATAGCCGATGGTGTTTATATATATTTTTATAGTAAATATTTTAAATATTAAATAATGTTAATTTCCTGTATTCAGCAGCATATCAAATATTAAGAATGAGAAGATATATAGATCTATCTATATATTCCTATATCTATATATCTTTATTTACAGCTATAACTGTATATAACTACTTGACTGATGTAGTCACTAGAAAGTAAACAATTACATAACTCAACATTTGATAGAGCCTTATGAGCCATCTGGATATGGTTCTGAAGAAAGGAGGCAGTTGTCAGTAGATGAAAGAATATTTTAAAACATAGCCCCTGTTAACCCGCCAGCATATTTGGGTTGATTTCCAGTCAGAGAGTTAAAATTGTACTGGCTGTTTGCTCTCCTCCCCCTGAGTCTTCTGTGGCACAGGGCAGATCTTATTAGGACATCTTCCTGGAGTCAGGATAGAATTTGTAGCTGTGGAACCATAAAATCTGCTGACCATACTTGAACCAAATCCAAGACTCTCGCCTCATTTTCATAGTGCTGTGGTTTATTGTGCTAACCAAGAAAGCCTTTTGCAGTTGGATACTAGGTAACTTGAAGTGACATTACTGAATACCTCTTCTTTAAGTATTAAAAATGTGTCTCCAATTAAAAAGGATAAATCCCTTAGAATTTGTTATTGTTCAAAATATTTAAGCTGAAGAGCTTTGAATAATTAATAGTCTGTATGTAGTTACTACGTACACTTTAGTTTTATTGTTGATGCATTTCACAATACTTGAAGAGTTGGGAGGGTCTGTATTTTAAAATATGATTGTTATCCACTAGGAGGAGCTATATCCTCTCTTAAAAAGTTAGTTACCCAGAGAAAGAGTAAAGCGAAAAGAAAACAAGGTGTCAAGTGAGACTTACCCAAGCTTATATGAACCTCAAGTATTGGTGATAAAGATGTTACTTGTATATTATCTTTCACTTTGGAATCATGAAATGTCAACTGATCCACAAAAGTTTATACTGCTCTTGCAGACATGGAGCTAAAACATCATAGGGCAAACAAGAGCCAAGACATTAGTGCTTCTTAGATGAGAGGGTAGAAATATAAAGGTTTAGGGGAAGGAGTTCCCTTCAGCAGAAGTAACAGTTGAAGCTAGGATTGGGAAGGATTTCTGTAAGAGGGATGCGAATGGGTATGAAGGAGAAGCAGGGTAAGTTAGGAAAGAGGAAAGAGGAGGGGTGCTGGAACCAACAGATGAGAGGTGAGGGGAGGGGAAGGGGTGAGCTGTGGCAGAGACCGGGGAAGAACCTGGATGGTGCCATGTCACCGGAACCCACAGAGGGGAGACTTTTAAGAACATGCTAGTGGAGTTGGGGGAGGAGAGCGGGGGTGAGTTCCGATGTACCTGAGTAGGTAGAGGAGAGTGAAAACACAAAGAAAGTGTTGTGCTTGGTTAGAAAGAGGACTAGTGGGTATGAGTTAGAATTACGTACACCTAATAATCATTCTTTGGCCGGTTAATAGGAGTGGTTTAGCAGATCATTCAAAGCTCTCCAGATACTGTCTGGTGACCCTTGTCATTAACCACACATACAAATCCATACAGAGTGTGACACCACAGATGACAACAGACAAGGAGTGGGAAGACAGGGTCTTCATTCTGCCTGTGTCACTAACAAGCTTAATGACCCCACACAAGTCACTTGACCCTTGTGTAGTAGTATAAAAATAAGAACCCCTTCTTTAAGAAGGATACAGATGAATAAAAATATACAATCTAGGGGTGCCTGGGTGGGTCAGTCAGTTGAGTGACTGACTCTTGATTTCTGCTCAGGTCATGATCTCCTGGTTGACAGATTGAGTCCGACGTGAGGTTCCACACTGGGCATGGAACCTGCTTAAGATTCTCTCTCGCCCTCTCCCACTGCCCCCACAAAATAATAAAAATTAAAAACAAAAATTAAAAATACACCTTCTTCATAGAAATAAGACAGCCCTCAAAGCTTTGTCCACAGTAGTGGTCACAGCTCATAACTCTGAACGTGTATAGACAGTACCTTTAACAGGCCCGCTGTGAGAGATGCCAATGGCTCTAGGAAGATAAATCTAATTATAATTAGCAGATCTGTTCTGTCCATGCTCAAATAGTCAACTGATTTTGTGTGTGTGTTCCTGACAGCTAGTGCTGTTATTACAAGTATCCAGAGACCTGCAAACATGTTTGTATTTCACAAGTGGGATTTGCATCTTTCACATTCCATAGGGAGCCAAACTCAGATAGTACGAAGGAAATGGCGCCAGTAAAAAGCATGATGTTCGCCTGAAACGTGTGGCTTTTCAAATTGAAGGGTTAATAAAAGGATTTCTTTATTTCATTTCTCTTCCTGTTATGATACAGAATGTATCACCTGCAGCAAAATCCATCAGCTGGAACCAAAATGTTGGTAAGAGTAGAAAGGTAGGTACTGACTTATACTAAATAACCTCATGTTTGTGAGCAGCACAATTTCGGTGTAAACTTCTATGTCCAAAGAAGGGTCCAGAGTCATTTTAAACACTGCCTTCAGTGAATCAATAGATCTTCAAATACCACTTCGGTAGTTTATAAACATACTACTAAAAAAGTAACTGCCACGAATGAATTTGCTGCCAGCACTATTCATGGATATATATTTTTAAAATATTTTTTGAACTTTATTTATTTATTTTGAGAGAAAGAGAATGTGTGTGAGCAGGGGTGGGGCAGAGAGAGAGAGAGAGAGAGAGAGAGAGAGGGAGGGAGAGAGAGAGAGTCCCAAGCAGGCTCCGTACTTTCGGCATGGAGCTCGATGCGGGGCTCGAACTCACGAACCCAGTCACCCCAAATTCGTTGATATATTTTAAGTATGATGTAACATTAGCATGTGACAGTCTTCAGCATACATGATCCCAGTGTGGTGACAAACATGTTAACTCTTATCCAGGAGAATTCCACTGTAGACCTGTTTTTCTCTTATGGGAAGAAAAATATCCCTAAGGAGATTTTAATCTGTTTAATTTGTTGATAGAAAACAAATATCAAAACAGTAATACCTTGAGAAGCAGATCCCCGCCTGGTAATATCAGTTTGACCTTTGTTGCCTAAACCCTGGCTGTTCCCTGTTGTAATAGTAACTGAACACGATATAAAATTTACTTGTCATGTATGTTGCATATATGTTTTATATTCCATATTCCATAATGTAACATCAGATTTCCCATTGGTGACTTAAGAATGGAGCATTCCCAGCTTTAACCTTTGGTGGTGAAGTTGTTTTTTGGCTTTGGCACCACGTGTGCTGTGGGCAGACCTCAGAGTGATAGAAAGTTTCCTCAATACTTTAGAAGCTCTGCAAGGTGATTACGTGCTCTTTTCATGAGTAACCATATCTATGTCACTTCAGCTGGTGCTGTGGTAGCTGACACAATTTCAGGTGCTTTGTTTATATTCTTCAACTCTAGCCTGACCTCCTTTTTTGGGAGGCCATAGAGATCACCCTGTAACCATGTTCTCTCCAGTGTTTTGGTGCTTAGCCTGAGGAAACATGCCCACATCAGGAGTCCCTGAGCACATAATTTCTGGGGGGAGAAAAACAAAACAAAACTCATGTATTTTAGGAAAATGTATTGGCAACTTTTATTCTTAACTTTGACTTAATGGGAAGCGTGACTCTTTACTGGACGTAAATTGCCAGGGTCCAAAGCCCACGTGTTTCACCACTCGGCCTCACTCAGCCTTTCATTGGTTCAGGTTCCTTGCCTATAAAATAGGGGTTATAATACCTGCTTTACAGGGTTATTTGGAAAACCAAATGAAACATTGTATGAAAAGTGCCTGAAACAGAACACCTTTTTCAATGCATGTTATTAATTTCTTTATTCCAATAATGAAATGTATAGGATTCTCCTTACATATTACGTGTTTTTGTGTTTTAGCATGTATAACAAAGAGTAAGCTGTCCATGAATGAAAGTTTAACATAGTTTTTTGCAAAATATTTATAGAAGGAAACTCTGTAAAGATCTGTTATCACAGATATGGAGAGTGGGAAGAAATTGCCAGACACCATTAACAGGGTGAGTGTGTACTTTTGGTAAGGTCTCTTCTTTTATGTTCTTTATTTGTCCCTCCCTCCCCCTCTCCCTTCCATCCTACCTTCCTTTGGCATGTAGTTGGACACATGTGGCTTCAAAGCATTGATAAAGCCTTTCTCCCAAGTTGCCCAGTAATAGCAGAAACTCAGGAGTGTCAAAAGGACTTTCTCAAGAACCACCATAGTTTTAACCTCCTGGGTCTAGAGTAAAGGAAGCAGAAATTCTCTGAGAACCATAGCTACTACAGTGGTGTCCCTCTGGTATATCTAAACCAATAGCAAGACAGAAAAAGGAATTCAACTTTAACCCTTGGTGGTTAAAGATTGTTGGTTGTGAGAGGTTCGAAGGATGGGGTCTCCATGTACTTCATACTTTGGTTGCTTTATTGAGCACAACCTGGAAGGTACAGGTGTGTGCCATAGTCTGGGGACACACAGGTAAGTAAACATCTGCTCCAGCCCTTGAGGAACGGATCATGTAGCTAGAAGGGAGATGTACTGTGATCTTCTGTCTGCCTCTCCCCGCACCATGAGCTGCTTGTGAGGTGGGGGTCCTTCTTCTTGCTTCCGAATGCCTCGTGCCTGTCTGTCACAGGGCCTATCCACAGAAAGCTCGCAATAAACAGATCCTGATCAAAATAACTAACTAGTGATTTAGGCCGAGAAACTGAAAGTAGATTTCGGAGTGGCCAACACTTGGCTTGTAGAAAGCCTCCGGTCATTTTTCAATGCCATTCAACTTAACATAACACATATGCCCAACCTATTTCTATCTCTGTTTAACCACAGATGTTACAAGGTCTAGTGGAAATTCTTCCTCTTGCACCACCTCTGCAGCATTCATGCAGCACTTACTTCATTCCTGGGGCACTTGGTTCCCAGCTAGATGACATAACCAAACACATTCCCTCCACCTGTGTCCCTGGCTTCTGGTCACAGCATCACTGTACCTCATTGCTGTGCAGTACATGTTGAGCCTAATGAAAGATGGTGGGTGGATCACGGAGATATTATATCAAGAGAGGCTGTAAAAATGCAGTAAGGCAGGAATAGGATCGAGCCAAGAGCAGACTAGCAGGTGTTTTGAGAATAACGGTTAACTTCATTTTACATAGAGGAGCTCCTTCAAAACAATAGTGATGAGCTGATAAATAAAATGAGACCTGAAATAAGTGGACATGTTAGTTCTCAAAAACAGTTTATTATTTTTTTTAAGGAAGGGAGGAAGGAAGACATCACAAGGAAACCTTTGTGTCTGAGCCTAGAGTTCATTGTGGGGGAACAGCATCTCCCCTGAGAATCTGTGATTATAGACCTGCCTTCACACAGGTTGGTGTTCAAATGTATACTGCTTTCATAGGTGGGGAAAATTGTAGTCCAAGTAATTTATTTGGTAATTTACTTAGAGGAGTTTATGGTTGCTAGTATCACCAAGGCATCTGGCAGAAAAAACATCCAAATCCGGGATGTCTCCTTAAAAGAGGCTGCTCCACAAATAAAGCCTCATCAAACCTAAAAGGAGTCCAAAATTTTAAAACGTATGTAATAATGTCTACAGAAGTCATAAATTGGAATGATTCGATGCAGAATGGAATATGCATGTTAAAAATGCTTAAAGAGGTAAAGATAGTATAAATACCTGAGCAAGGAATAAGGAAGATTCAGAGAAGGTCTAGATGGATTTGAATAAAAACCAAATGAACTTCTATTAATTAAATGTATAATCACTGAAATGAAAACTCAGTGGATCAGTTGAGCAGTGGACTAGATACAATTAATGGAAGACTAAAGAACTAGAAAATGGATCTGGGAAAATTATCCAGAATGCAGCCCAGGGAAAAGAGATGGAAAATGGGAGAGAAGTTAGAGATATGTGAAAAGAATGACAAGGTTTTACATTCTCCAGTTAAAAGCTCTAGAAAAAGGGCATGTGAAGAATGGGGAGAAGTAATGTCCAAAGAGCATTTTTCAGGGTTGATGAAACATATATATCTGCAGAATCCAGGAGAATCACTCCCAAACAGATTAAACAAAAAGAAATCCATACAAGATATATCACAGTGCAACTGTCTAAAAACCCAAAACTAAGATCACAAGAGCACATAGGGGAAAGGACAACACACAAAGGTCAGCAATTAAACTAATAGCAAACCTCTCAGTAAGAAAGTTGAATGCCAGAGATTTGAGATAGTATCCATGAGGTTTATAAATGAATGTCATTCTAGAAATTTGTGCCCAGATAAACTAGCATTATAGAATAAAAGTAATGCTGATACAATACTGGGTGAACAGACCTGTAGGAAAAGATGATTTAAAAAAAAGTAAGGGATGTGTGTAGGAGAGTGTTTTTACCCACATTACTTTATGCCTGGAATTACTTGAGACATAATTGAGTCATTGAACAAAATGATACGTTGGCAGTTGTTTGTTTGTTTGTTTGTTTGTTTGTTTGTTTTCATCACAAGCTTTAATCTGACCTGGATTAAAATACCCATGTCCTATTTCCCTAAAAGCAGACTAATAAGCAGGGCCCTGGACCTTGGTGCTGATATTCTGATGGAGTGTTGCGTTTATCACCTTTGTTTTACTTACTAACACACAGTTAATTTTCTTTGGCCATTACAGAATGTATTTTCAGATGCCAGTTTGTTGACTTTAAAATATTAAAAGCAAGTTGAAATAAATAAATTGCTTACCTATTTGAGGTTTAATAAGGTCTAGCATGTCAAAAGGCACACAATGATTTTCTTTAATGTTTACTTATTTATTTTCAGAGTGAGAGAAGGAGGAAAGGGCGGGGGGGGGGGGGGAGAGAGAGAGAATCCCAAGTAGGCTCCACACTGTCAGTGCAGAGCCCAACTTGGGGCTCGACCTCACGAACCATGAGATCACGACCTGAAACAAAATCAAGGGTCGGACACGTAAGCAACTGAACCATCCAGGTGCCCTCCACAATGAATTTTAAATCCCATTCCATAGAACTGTGATGTTCCATTAAAAACGTGGAATATTTTGTTCTCGTTAACTAAATTATTCAGAAATGGCAATATGAAACTGATTTATAAACTGATTATTGTTGGTGTAATAACTTCTGTACCTTTATATTGGAACTTCTGGGGTTTATATTCAAAACTTGGGAATCCTTTAGAATTTTAAGATGATTAGAAAAGTCTTTGCAGTTTGAGGACCCTTCTGTATGTCTGGGGACCAGTTTGGTCCTATTAATTTTTCTAGGTAGTCGTTTTTTTCTAAAATTGGGTGGATTAAACTTTTCCTGGTCAAATTCCCAACTTTTCATGTAACTCTAATTTCTTAGGACCTTGAGGTTCTCTGTTGTAATATGTTCTCAAGTCAAATCAGGCTTCTCAAGGGTAGTGGAGCCTCTTTCCCTGCACATGGAGAGAGAATGATGATAATTGTGTGATAAAGACAAAAAGGAAGGTCCATATTGAAGGCTTCTTGGATCTCCCTCCTATTCACCCATTCAGACCAAACCCAGTGCACAACTTTGCCCTAATGAGTCATGTTCTGTAGTTTCCAGGCTGCACTCTGCCATGAGAGGCAGCAACCAAAGCCAGATCCTCTCACGTTGATCCTCAAATCCGCGTCCCCTTTGGTGCTTGGTTCTTCCCTCAGCAGACTCCACCTTCTCTTCCTTTTCAAATCTGTTTCTCTCTTGCAGTGTAGCTCTTAGTGAAATTGACCTATATTTTCCTCTTTCCTTCCTCCCACTCATTAAGTAGTGTCCTTTGTAATCTTGGTTTTGCAAGTATTTTGAGCAAAGTGTATCCTATGGGTACTCAAGAGGCTGCCAGTATTTATCATTATCTCTTACTAATTGTATGACTTTGGGAAGTTACATGATCTCTCAGCGTCTGCTTTTTCATCTTTGTATTCACATGGGTTATTATGAGGATTAAATAAGAGAATACAGGGGAAACACTTGGCTCAGTGCCTGAAAGACCTCAACAAACATATTAATTGTTACTTGAGATATGCTGAATTTTATGAAAGGGGATGTTCAGGGAGCATAGGAGATTTACAGCTGGGGGCCTTCACTTGTACTGAAGGGAACAACGAATGTCCTCCAGAGGAAGTGACCTTTAAGCTGAGACCTTCAGGGTGAATATAATTTTTGATCTGGAAAAAAACAAAGGTTCCAAGTAGAAGAAACCACCCGGCACATTCCAGGGCCTGAAGGCATATGCTGGGGGAATGCAGGAGCTGAGAAGTCCCAAATGGTGGGACGGAGAGAATGAGCTGGGAAGATGGCAAAAGGTGAGCCTCGGAGAAGAAAGCAGGTGCCAGAGGGCAGAGGACTCTGAAGGTCATGGTTAGGATTTTATACTTTACCTTGACCACAAATTAAAAAACACTAAAGAAAGGTTAGAGAAAGGAAATGACATGATCAGTATAAATTCTGAAGAGACCATTCTCCCCTGCATTTGGGCAGGCTGGTAAGAAACACCTGTTGCTTCCTTCTTTGGCTCCAGGAGGAAGTTCAAAACACACAAGGTCCAGTCCACCTGTGAAAACCCTCACCCCAGCCCTGTGCCTTAAATTGCCATAAAATCCAAGTCTCCTTTCCTGACTCTCAAGCCATTTTTGGACCTGCTTGAGAACCTTCTGTGCACTTCCAGAAGGCCTCATTATGTGAGTAATAAACCTTTTCATATGCTCTTGGTATGTGTGTGGCCTCAAAATCAATCTCTACGTCTGAACCAAATTCAGATGGTGGGGTTGGGGTGTCCGTTGTGCCACCTGTGGTAACCACACAATATGGATTATAAATATAAAAACTTTAACATATCTATCTCAAAAAAAGAATGAGATTATACTATGAACATCTGATCTTTAAAATAATGTACTTTCAACAAGGATGTTATTAAATGTTTTTCACAATATCATTTTAACCACAGTATATTATACTAGTATATGTATAGTGCAAATGATCTAACCAACTTACAATTAGACATATGTGTTGGTTATAATATTTTTACTACTGCTGTAGCAGATATCCTTATAGCTAAACATTTGTTCATTTTCTTGGTAACTAAGATAAATTCTAGTTTTAAGTATTAATGAATCATAAGCACGTTCATCTCATTAGAGTAAACATTTATGGAGCACCTGCCACGAGCAGTTATTGGGATCCTAAATACAAAAGACATCAAAATTGTTTTCAGAGAAGTACTCTTACAATAAGGCATTCAGAGGAATATTTGCAGGTTAAAAACTGATTTTTTTTTTTTAAATGAAGACAGCTAAAGCCAAGAAATGTAGCCTGTATAAAATTTTATAAGGTGTGAAGTTTGCCACAGGGTGGCACTAATACATTTCTATTAAATTATGATATGTTAGAAGTTTTTTCTCTGTTGATCTGTTTTTTTAGTGAATTATAATTAGGTTTAATTTGATATTTTAAAAATTAGTTTACATTAAAAAACACAAGACAGGGGTGCTGGGGTGGCTCAGTCTGTTAAGAGTCCGACTTTGGCTCGGGTCATGATCTCACAGTTTGTGAGTTCGAGCCCTGTGTCAGGCTCTGTACTGACAGCTCAGAGCCTGGAGCCTGCTTCAGATTCTGTGTCTCCTTCTCTCTCTGACCCTGCCCTACTCCTGCTCTGTCTCTCTAAAATAAATAACCTTGAAAACACACACACACACACACACACACACACACACACACACACACGACAGCATTTTTATTTAAGAACCTAAATATTATACATACCTTCATAACCACAGAGCCTGACAGGTGATTTCCGTTGTTTTTGTTTTTGTTTTTTTAATGTTGGTTTATTTTTGAGAGAGAGACAGCATGAGCAGGGGAGGGGCAGAGAGAGAGGGAGACACAGAATCCAAAGCAAGCTCCTGGTTCTGAGCTGTCAGCACAGAGCCCTATGCGGGGCTTGAACCCACAAACTGCGAGATCATGACCTGAGCTAAAGTCAGATGCTTAACCAACTGAGCCACCCAGGAAGCCCCCAGGTGATTTCCTTTTTAAAAAACCAAAAATCAAATTATTGAACATAGTGTATATACACATACACACACATACATATATAAATGTTTATGAATATTATAAACACATAATATTTAGGTTCTTAAAAATCCTGTTTTACATTTTTTTGGGGCGCCTGGGTAGCTCAGTCGGTTAAGCGTCCGACTTGGGCTCAGGTCATGATGTCTTGGTTTGTGAGTTCAAGCCCCGGATCGGGCTCTGTGCTGACAATCAGAGCCTAGAGCCTGCTTCGGATTCTGTTTGTCTTCCTCTCTCTCTGCCCCTCACCTGCTCACGGTCTGTCTCTCTCTGTCTCTCAATAATAAATAAATGTTAAAAAAAATTTTTTTTTAAATCCTGTTTTGCATTTTTTAATGTAAACTAATTTTCTAAATGCATGTATGTGTTTGTGTCTTATTGTATGTGAAATAAGAGAGTGAAATACAATTTACAGAATTGGGTTTATTTTCTGATCTTGTGTCTAACTGAAATTTTAGCTTTTATATTTTATATGAGGGATCCTCAATAGTCCGTTTCTTTGCTCGCCTACACCAGAAAATTTTAGGGGCAGAGAACTTTTATAAAGTATACTCTACCATTTACCCCTGTTTCTTCTCTCAACCATTCTGAATGCACCTGGGGGGCATTACTTCCCTTCCTTCTTAATTAGTTCTCTAGTGAGCTTCTGTTAATGACAATTACATTTACATAATTAATTATTATGTCTTTCTGGTAAAATGACTTCTGTATCATTATGAAATGACCTTTTTATTCCTGGTGATGTTTTTTGCTGTGAATTTTACCCTGTCTGATGCTAAGGAAGCCATTGGTACCTTTTCTTTTGAATCTTGCTTTTTTATAAAATCCGAATTCACCATCTTGTTATTTTTTACCTATTTGTCTCATCTAACTCTTGGTTCCCCCTTTTCTCTTTTCTGCCTTGTTTGAGATTAAAGTTTTTCTTTTTCTTTTTTTAAATGTTTATTTATTTTTGAGAGATAGAGAACACAAGAAAGAGGGCACCTGCCCTGTGATCTCTAGTCAGCTTTGTCTCCCTAGACTCAGCTTCTCAACTTGGGGTACCTGCTGGGCTCCCCTTGGCTTTCCCCTCCCAGTGTGTAGCCTGGAAACTCAGTCATAGACTCATCTCATTTGTTTTATATATCTTAGGGAATCACTGTTCTTTGTTGCCTGATGTCCACTGTCTTGAACACTATTATTTCATTTTTTTTTTTTCTGGTTTTTTGGTTGTTTCAGGCAGTAGTATAAATTTGGCCCAGGTCATTCCATCTTGTCCAGAGCAAAATATCTACTTCAAGTTTTTACGAGAGGTTTTTGTTAGTTTCTTTGTATAATTTTTTATTTAAATCTATGCAATAATCTTGAATTGTACTTTAGATTAAGTAGGGAATTAATTACTTTATCTCGAACACATACTATTTAAAGATTCTACCTGTAAATGGATACATTATACATTAAATAATTAATTTTTGTAGGGTTTTTTCCCTCATAGTTTGGTTAGAAAAGCAATGGCTTTGACTTGTTAACACCTGGAAAGTAAGTCTAATAATACTAGTTGTAATTTTACTCCTTTAATTACATTATAGTAAAATTTACTAAACTTAAGCTTTTTATAAATTAAAATATATCTGGTAGGTCATCTTCAACACATTTTAAACTGAACATAATTGCATTTCTTTAATACTGTGGAGTTAAAAAGCTAAAGAAATATGTCTCATACAAAGATTCAAGAAATTTTATGAAACAAAGTTACAATCATTTCTTGAGTGCCTACTATGTGAGAGGAACTTCACAAAATTATTTTTTATACTCACAATTAATTTATTAGACAGATGTTGTTGTCCCCATTTGAAAGATGAGGAAATTTCATACAATAGGATTATATAACTTGCCCAAAGTTACAGAGTAAGTATTCACACAAGCTGGATTCACACAAGCCAAACAACTAAAACTCAAAAGTATTTTATTATCCTATGCTGATTAAAGCTCTTCACTTTGTAAAGAGCTTAAGATCTTCCAAACTTTAGGAGAATGAGTTTTAATAATAGATTTATTGATAAGTTTTAGTCCATTAGCATGTCAAATAGTAATATCTTATAAATTTTGCCTCCTATCCTATAAATAACATAATGACAACTTCATGTCACATTTCAAGTCTGATAATAACTTAAATTTTGAAGCACTTTGCAATTTTCATGGCTTTCATGTATTTTTATCTCAATTAATTATCATAACCACACTGGTTAATGCATTAGCCCCATTTTGTTCAAAGTCTATCACTTGGCTTAGGTTCCTGTGATTCTTAGACCAGTATTTTTTCTATTATCCCAAGCTAGCCTTTCTGCATCATTAGATTATTTTATTAAAACAAACAAAACCAAAGTGGCACCCATGTAAAGTAACCAAGTTTTTTCCCAATTTTATGACAATACTTCCGAAAAATAAGGTTTGATTTTTATATTTGGGAAGGTGTTGAAAATTTTGCTTACCATATTAGTGTCATTTTCTTTTGTTTTGCAGCTTGCAGGACACCTCACTGAATGTGATGCTCAGAGTATTGGTGGAAAATTCATAAGTTGGGATTGGATGCCAGACTGGTAGGTTATCAACACACATATATATAAAGTTTATATAGCATTTACATTTTAGAAATTTTATTATGTGTTTATTAAATTGTATTTCATTATTTTCTTAATTTATATTGTTTATTTGCATTATATATTGTTTTCATATTGTGATACACAAACTATATATCCTAGCCATCATTATCTTATTAGGATCCAGAGCTAAGTTTCAAGAGAATTCTTTTTGGCACCTTAAAAATCATATTTCCCTGAGATAATATACAATATTTTATATTACTATTATTATGGTCTCTGGTTTATTATTAAGCTGACCTTTGTACCTGTTAATGAGTTGAATTGTGTCCCCCAAAGATATGTTCAAATTCTAACTCCCAGGACCTTAGAATGTTACCTTATTTGGAGAGAGGGTCTTTACAGAGATAGTCAAGTCAAAATGAGATCATTACAATAGGCCTCAATCCAATAGGATTGGTGTTCTGATAAAAAAAAAAAAAAAAGAAAGAAATTTGGACAAAGACAAAGACACACACAGAGGGAAGACAATGTGAAGACACATAGAGAGAACAACATGTAAAGACAGGACTGGAGTGATGCATCTATAGACAAAGTAACACCAAAGATTGTTGACAAACCACCAGAAGCTTAGAAAGAAAAGGAAGGATTTTTCCCTAGAGCTGTCAAAGAGAACATGGCCCTGCTTGTCTACACCTCGATTTCAAACTAATAGCCTCCAGAACTGAGATAGTACATTTCTGTTGCTTTAAGACACCCAGAGTTTGGTACTTTGTTACAATACCCCTAGGAAAATAATATAGTGCCTAAAATAGAGTCTCTCTGTTTAAGGACAAAATATACTAAATATGTATTACTGGAACCTTGTATAAATATATATCTAAATATACACTGGAACCTTGAAATACCAGTATTCATCCAGGGCTATACCCTATTCCATCCAGGGCTCTGCTGTGAGAAGGTTCTTTGTCCCAACTCTAAGAAGCTCCTGCAACAAGAGCCATCTTACCAATGTGAAACTTACAATACATAGGCCTTTGCCTCTAGTAACAATTAAGGATCTATACATGACATTCCAGAGCCCAATCTAGACAGTGGTCTTTCCAGTCTTGTCTCTCATTCTTTCTCTGATCCTTGTCCAGAGTCAAGCAGGTGCTATCACTCTTCTCCTCCTCTTTGGCTGTCATATGGTACCAGATTAGTAGGAAGCAATAAATACATGAGGGTTATGGCAACAATGGGAAATGTGTCCTTAGCCCTTTACTCATATTTGTCTGTATTTTATCTCTGAGAATGATCATTTGCAGGGGCAGTGTTTGCCCCTACTTGGTAACAGATGACTTATCTGATAGTTTTTGTTTGTTTATAATTTTATTTTTGCCTCAAATTCATTGGCTTCTATTAGAGACTTATACATTTCTGATGGTGATGTGGTCAGTCTCTTACTGACCCAAACTCAGGTCTCTTCCGTGCTCTCCCTTATCTCATCAATCATCAGTAAGGTCAATTTTTACTCCATAATATCCTTCATTTTCTTCCTTTTATATTCATCCAAATTTTCCAGTTTTCTTATCTAGCTTCTAAAGGCTATTGTAGAATCTTATGTGGATTCTGAAGGCTATGTAGATTCTCAAGACCATTAGCTGGTCTCCATGCCTCTTGTTTCCAATGTAACAGCTTTGCAACTGTAAAACAAATAGTTTAAGTACAAGAAATCTGACTTCTTAGATTTTATCATCTTGGTTTTATCTTTTCAACCAAATTATAAACTCTCTGAGGGCGTGGATCTTTGCATTCCTACAGATTTATCAGATGCACCATTCAGCCCAGAATAACAATGAGAAAGCATGAACTTTAGAGATATTGCCTAGAATCCTGGTTCTACCACTTATTAGCTCTGTGAGATGGGACAAGTTACTCAACCTTTATGTTCCTCAATATCACTCATCTGCAGAGTAAGGAAAATGGTAATATCTACTCTGAATGGATTATTATGGAAGATGAGTGAATAAAGCAGTTAAAACAGTACCAAAAATTAATAGTAACTTTTCAATAAAATGTTCATTGTCTTATTGTCTTACACTTCGATGTTCACCAAATATTTGGAGACTAATAAAAGATAAATTGCATTAACACAAGAATAGAAGCACCTATCTGAACCTATTTTATCTGAATGTGTGTTGCACCTCTCACTTAAGGTGGTGTAGTCCTGAGTCTTGTTGAGTTCCATGAGTATAAAATAAGGGTAGTAATACCTACCCATAGCATTGTTGTAGAGATTACTATAAATAGGTTGCTGTTGGTCAGGGCTGAATCCAGTGTCTGACACATGGTAAACATGTAAGTAAATGGTACCCAGGAGAAAGAGTGATAATGGTAGTATTAATAGTAGTGAGGCAGCAGTAGCAGTGATGGCATGGTAGTAATAATAGCAATAATGGTAGTAACAGGAAGAAGCAGGATTTTACTTAGTTTTTGGTGTGTATGGAACATATCAGCAATTGGAAGTAGCTTGGGGGTTGTGAGGAAAAGGCGAAGATTTTCTTGACAGTCCAAGAGAGGTGATGGTTGAAGTCATGTGAATGGATGAGGTGCCTTTGAGTGTGAAGAGAACAGTACTGGGACAATCAGGGCATCTAGGGAATGCAAGTACAAGGGGAAAGTTGAGGATCGTGGAGAGAGTATAGTTCAAATTCTTACCCATCAAATCCAGAGAGTGTGGGAGGAAGAAAACAACTTGTAAGGTGGGAAGCTGTGATTAGAGAGTGCCAGACAGTAAGAGAAAGTAGTCAAGGAAGTCAGTGACCTGCCTCAGCCACTATTACAGTCACTTCTCAACCATTTCCTCATCTTTCCGTCTTACTCAGAATTATCTTCCCTTTAACAGCTAAAAAAAATAAATATATACATACGTTAATGAAATTAAAAACACTGTATTTTAATGCTATGGCTGAATGCTATGGTCCATTAAAACCAATTGGCAATATGTCATGAAGAAAATATGGACATGCTGGAGAGAAACAAATATGCTTTTCATTTTAAGAAGCAAATTATGGCCTGAAAGTTATATTGTGAAGCTGAGGACATACATTTGACAGGAGAAATTGAGAAAGCATGGAATGTGCCTTTACTCAATATATTTGGAATCCTTTGCTGAACTCTAACATGTACCAGTGCTTTAGAGAAAGAAACATTTTTTAATTGGTGAACCCAAAAGTTATGTCCTAAATTATTATATATATATATATGTATATATTTGAACACATATATATGTTCATTGTGACTTTTTCTGAAAATTATTTTCTAAGTATTTTTTTAAATATGAAGGTTTTATCAAAAAGCAATTTTTGCTTCAGCAATTCAGATAATATTGATTAATGTCTATCTGATTTCGATGTTGTCAATGCTTTAGTCAGTTTGTTCCAAATGAAACATACTTCTCTTGGCTTCCTGCTTTTGCTGTAAACAGCCTGAAGAGCAATTACAAATTAAAAATCATCCCTGTTCAGGTAAATAGTAAGGTTATATTTATTTATTATTTCAATATTTCTCTTTTTTGTTTCTATATACTGTTTTTAAATATATTGTTTAAACAAAGTATTCAATACAATATAAATATAGCAACTATTATACCTAGAACAACCAAAACTGATCTATAGCTTCTTCTCTAAGAATAGTTCCAAGGATACTATCTTAGACACCTTCCTTATAATGGTTGCTGTTGCCATTAAGCATTGCACATGGCCTTTTAAAATTTATACTTTTTATTTATGATACTTAAACATGCAGTGGTCATAATGCAATATAAAATAGCTTCAATTAGTATACATATTCTTTTTCCACTTCAATCTTTAAAATAATAATAATAAACTCCCAGTGAACCTTTACCCTGCAAATGACCTGATATGACATATTTGAACTTGCAGTGAACTTTCACATGAACTTTCAGTTATCCTCTGAGAAATATAACAGATGGAAAATAGGCAGATTTTTCAAATATTTTTAGATGCAGTGCTTGGACACGTTTAACAGAGACAACAAGGCCGACTATCTCTTTCCAGTGTTTACTTTGCTGACTTTATTGTACTGCATGCTGTTTACTTACATTATATGCATGAATTTTTTTTTTAATTTTTTTTTTCAACGTTTATTCATTTTTGGGACAGAGAGAGACAGAGCATGAACGGGCGAGGGGCAGAGAGAGAGGGAGACACAGAATCGGAAACAGGCTCCAGGTTCTGAGCCATCAGCCCAGAGCCCGACGCGGGGCTCGAACTCATGGACCGTGAGATCGTGACCTGGTTGAAGTCAGACGCTTAACCGACTGCGCCACCCAGGCGCCCCATATATGCATGAATTAAGAGGTTCAGTTATAGTTCTGTTTGACCAGCATCTTGATTTAAAAAAAATTTTTTTTAACGTTTATTTATTTTTGAGAGACAGAGACAGAGCACGAGTGGGGAAGGGACAGAGGGAGACACAGAATTGGAAGCAGACTCCAGGCTCTGAGCTGTCAGTACAGAGCCCAACGTGGGGCTCAAATCCACGAACTGTGAGATCATGACCTGAGCTGAAGTCGGAGGCTTAACTGACTGAACCATCCAGGTGCCCTGACCAGGATCTTGATTTTAAACCAGCACTTGTATATGTGTTTAAAGATGAGGCTAAGAGGGTCATAAGATATAACAAATTGTGAGAGAACTTTATCAAACTTATTGAAATAATACTACAAATCATTTAGATATGAGGGACTTTCAAGGATCTATTTCAGATTTTAGAATATGAATCAGCTATAATGCCTTTCACTTTGAATGGTTTGTAGCTGGAAATTCAGTTCAAAATACACATGGTTTTTGAACGGTTATTTGGGAAAGGGAGAGGAAAATTAAGGGAGCACTAGCTATTGTTTATAACTGCTATGGTATGAGATAGGCTCCTTGGAGGTATTTAATCTTAGCAACTCTCTTCCCTAAGTAGTTATCTTATTCATTTTGCACAACAGGAAAGGGAGACAGAGAGGTTGCGTAACTTGCCTGAGAAGACACAGCTAAACTGAGGAATTAAATCCGGGTCTCCAAGACTTTCAAGTCCTTTCTCTTGCAACAAGTTTGTGCTCCCAAGAACGAAATATTTTGTTTGGTCAAATGAATGCTAAAGATAAAAGTGTGATTATGCTGTAATACTTCTATAATCTTTGTTTTGAGAATTTGAAGAGTTTATTTCTTTGTATTTGTTGCATAATATTGCTAAATAAGTTAGGTATAAAACTTTCAGACTGCTCTCAGTGATATAAAGATAGTAACTGAGACTTTTGCTTCTCTTGAAAATTTCCTATTGTTTGCAAAAAAACTATACATCTATTACATTTACCAAATAATGCAGGCATTTATATTATTTATCCACTGATATGCATCTCCTTGCTTAGAATCAATTCTTATTAACGCCCACTTTATTCTCAGACCGTAATTTATTCATCCTGAATAATGTTTTAGATGTAGTTTAGTTCAGAGAGAGATTATACTTAATGGACATAGATATGTATAAAGTAGCGCACAATTGCATTTATAAGATCAGAATGTGAACTGTATAAAGCTGTAATTAGTCCCTCTTTCCTGACACTTCACTTAGCAACAACAATATCATTGGTGAGGAAAATAAAGATCTTTCCATTTCACAAGGATGTACTCAGAAGCTTGAAGGACCTGTTGTGATCTTGTCAGTGACATAGTTTAAATGGATAGCAAGTTAGGGGCACCTAGGTGGCTCAGTTTGTTAACATCTGACTTCAGCCCAGGTTATGATCTCACAGCTTGTGATTTCGAGCCCCGCATCGAGATCTGGGCTGACAGCTCATAGCCTGGACCCTGCTTTGGATTCTGTGTCTCCCTCTGTCTCTGCCCCTCACCCCACTCACATTCTGTCTCTCTCTCAAAAATAAATAAACATTAAAAACCATTTTTTTTACATGGATAGCAAGTTAAAGTAAGTTGTTACTCATTTTAAGGGAATTTGTAATACATTCCTTTCTTTAACTTTTTAGCTCATTTATTAAAAACAGCTTTTAATGAAAAGTAATGAACAGTTTTCATATTAAAATAAGTGATCCTGTTTTTCTCTCCAGTGTTTAGGTATTGAAGGTGGAACAGTGTAGGTTCAAGGAGCAAAAGGTCTCTTCCTTCTTCCTTTTACAGCTGATCCTTCAACAACATGGGTTTGAACTGCACTGGTCCACTTACACATGGATTATTTCCAATGAATATAGTACAGTACTGTATATTTTCTATTGCTTATAATATTCTTAATGATATTTTCTTTAGCTTTCTTTATTGTAAGAATACAGTATATAACACATATAACATACAAAATATGTGGTAATTGATTATTTTGTTAGTAAGGCTTCAGTAGGCTATTAATAGTTTATTTTGGGGGAAGTCAAAAATTATACATGGATTTTTGATTGCATAGGGAATCAGTGCTCCTAACCCCTGTGTTGTTCAAGGGTCAACTATATAAGGTCTTTTCTCTTGTGTTATTTTGTTATTTGTTTAGAGGTCAGGTGGAAAGCACATAAATTTCCCTCTGTATGATAGGGTGATTTAGTTAGGGACAAAGTTATGATTTCCTGTAGAAAGTAGGCAGAAAACATGGTAGAGAGATAAGCCCACAACTATCTTTGATTTCTTGATATTAGTTAAGACTAATTGGTATATGTAAACTCTAAAACTTACATTTATAATATTGCAATTCCTTAGATTTAGGGTAATCATTATCTGTACAAAGCTAGTTGTGTATGGTGGCACCACAATTATAAAACATCATAGAGAAGGACTGTGGAGTAGGTATTGAAGTATCAATATAGAGAATATATATCTGTATATTAAAAATAATGTTTCGTTTTTTGATATGGTATGTCCAAAACTGTGATATGTCCATGACAGAAAACATAAAATTTAGGCATACATGCTTTTTTATCTTCTTGCTTTAAAATAAACTCTGAAAGCTACAAAGTGATGCAACCTCTAAAAATAAAAGTGACAAATTCAGGGGCACCCGGATGGCCCAGTCAGTTAAGTGTCTGACTCATGATCTCAGTTCAGGTCTTGATCTCAGGGTAGTGAGTTCAAGCCCCGCGTTGGGTTCCATGCTGGGCCTACTTAAAAAAAAAGAAAAAAAGAAAAATACAAAGTGTCAGCTTAAAAAAACAAACTGTTTAATATAGTTTTTACATTAATTTTTCAATTAATAATCTACATGTGTACTATTTAGGATTTTTTTATTGCAAGTGACAGAAATGTAATTCAAACCGACATAAAAAGGAGTGGCAGTCACATGCAAACTTGAACACAGATTATATTGTATACCGTTTTTGCCTCTTTTTTTAAACATAACATTAGGAGTATTTCATCATAATTAGTTTTACTTTTTACCGTTTTTTTAATTTACTTTCTTACATTATTTCAAAAGTGCCCTATAGCATTCCATTATCTGCATGTATCATATTGTATTTATTTATTTTTCCTTTGTTTAACGTTTATTATTTATTTTTGAGAGACAGAGTGAGAGGAGGGAGGGGCAGAGAGAGAGGGAGACACAGAATCCAAAGCAGGCTCCAGGCTCCAGGCTGTCGGCCGAGAGCCCAATACAGGGCTCAAACCCATGAGCTGTGAGATCATGACCTGGGCCGAAGTCAGATGCTTAACCGACTGAGCCACCCAGGCGTCCCTATTGTAGTGTATTTAAATATTCCTTTCTTGTTTGACATTTAGATTGTTTCCAGTAGAGTATTTCCAAAGTCTCTGTCCATGTAGAAGAAAAAGCTTGATTGGAAGCTTAACAGAAATAAACTTTAAGGCCCCCAAAATATTTCTCTAAATTCAGAAATGTAATCTTATACCCCCCCTAATTTATTAAAGCTTTCACTTGACTTCTATGAAGGTCATTATTTCATATTAGAAAAGATAACCTTATTTATGTATGCACTCAGAATAGATACAGTTGGTATGGAAACCAATTTGACAATAAATTTCATATATAAAAAAAAAAAAAAGAATAGATACAGTTGTTTCTGGTAATAGTTATGTGATCCATTCTAGGGCATATTATTGTTGGCATAGATTAATATCATTGTTTATATTTATAACCTTGTCTTAGCAGGTAAGCAAGTGCTTGTTACCATGATGATTTCAGAGCAACTGCTGTCTGCGCAATGGAAGGTCCAAAAAGCAACTAAAAAGGGAAGGAGAACAGCTGAAAGTTTTTTGAAAAGGTTGGCACATGAAACAAAATGATGGGTTTTCCAGTCTATTTTAAAGCACGTTAGCGATCAGATTATTTCACAAGGATTGTTATTATAATGACTTAACGTTTTCCCCTAATGTATCTATATATTCACTCATCACGTTATGTATTAAGTGGAGAGTGACCTGCCCCAACAGTTTTGTAGTTTAGTATGCTCAGATAAGCAAGTTTTAGTAAAGTTTTATGGATGTTAGCTTCTTTCTCTTAACCTAGAGATGATGTTTAGAAAGATAACAGGTGGGGGCGCCTGGGTGGCGCAGTCGGTTAAGCGTCCGACTTCAGCCAGGTCACGATCTCGCGGTCTGTGAGTTCGAGCCCCGCGTCAGGCTCTGGGCTGATGGCTCAGAGCCTGGAGCCTGTTTCCGATTCTGTGTCTCCCTCTCTCTCTGCCCCTCCCCCGTTCATGCTCTGTCTCTCTCTGTCCCAAAAATAAAATAAACGTTGAAAAAAAAAATTTAAAAAAAGAAAGATAACAGGTGATAGAATCAAAGCAACAGACCCTTTGACAGGTCAAATGGTACATCCGCCGGTTTTTGTCTCTGGAGGAAACTTCATTCGTCCTAGAAATTTCTCTTTAAACATATCCAAATAAAGAAATATTATAATTTTGTAGCCAAACTTAATTATTTAACAATTTTTATAAAATTTTTGATGCTAGAACCAAATCATTTACATGTTATTTACACTAGTGATGCTTCCTACCATGTAAGTACCCCCAAATTATTTCATTTTTGTCAATAGTGGTGATCAAAAACATTTAAAAGTAAAAAACAACATAAACAGGAAACTGAGTGAAAATAACCTGTGATCCCTTAGCAGAGAGTTAGAGTGTTTTTAAATTAAAGATTTGGGGTGCATGGGTGGCTTAGTCAGCTAAGCATCTGACTCTTGATTTTAGCTCAGGTCCTGATCCCAGGGTCATGGGATTGAGCCCCATGTTGGCCTCAGTGCTAAGCATGGGGCCTGCTTGAGATTCTCTCTCTCTCATTCTCTCTCTCTCTCTCTCTCTCTCTGTCTCTCTGTCTCTCTTCTCCTGCCTCTCTCCCCCACTCACTCTCTCTCTCGAATTAAAGTGTTTTTTAATTAAAATTTAAGATAATTACAATCTGCATTTTTAAGGCTATCTATATAATTAATTAGTTAACTAGTTCTCTGTTTCAACATTTGAGTCCCTTACTCCATAGCAGTGACTTCTGGGTCCTGGGTATATAGCCGTGAGCAGGACAGACAAGGTAGCTATCCTCATGGTGTTTAGTAATATGGATAGACATTAAACTAATAACCCACAAATAAAGAATTGAAAAGTACTTTGAAGAAATATTAAACGGTATTATGAAAAAGAATAACAAAGAAGCATAATTTCAATTTAGCAGTTAAGAAAGGTTTTATTTTTTTATTTTTTATTTTTTTAAAGTTTATTTATTTATTTTGAGAGAGAGAGACAGAGCACACCAGTCGGGGAAGGGCAGAGAGAGAATCCCAAGCAGACTCCTCACTGCAAGCGCAGAGTACAACGCAGGGCTTGAACTCACGAACTGTGAGATTATGACCTGAGCTGAAGTGAAGAGCCAAGACCCGGATGCTTCACCGACTGAGCCACTCAGGTGCCCCAAGGAAGGTTTTATTAAGTGCTGTTTGAACAAGGCAACCTGAATAATGGGTGCCTTCTTAGGCACCTACATAAGATAAAAGGCATGAAAACACAGTTATATGTCTCAATATCTGGCACATATTATTCAGTAAATATTGTTGAATGAATGAATGACTATTCCAAAAATCAGAAAATAAAGCAAACGTTAAAACGGGAAGTGTAAAACAGTATTTTAAAAGTTAAGTCAAAATCACAGTTGTGCAAATAAATGTAAATGCCGTAGACTGCCCAATTAAAAGATAGTCTCTTAGAATAGATTAAAATCAAAGTTCAACTAAGTGTTATGATGCACAGTGAAACCAAACAATGCAAGAAAGTTGGAAGAATCAGTAAGCAAGGAATAAGAAAAAGAAGGACAAGAAGGTAGGGGAGAATGAGAAGGGAAAAAATAAGAGGGAAATGATATTGACAGTAAGGTAGGATTCAAATGGCATAAAATGTATCATTCACAATGAAGATAATGTGGTTATGCCCTTTCATGTGCTAAATAACAAAGCATTAAGACATTTACGTCTCTTTAGATACGTAAAGAGAAAGAGAAATACAATTGCCGTGGAAGATTTTAACATCTTCATATTTATGGAGTTAAATAATAATGATTATTTTTATTTATTATTTATTATTAAATAAATGATTAAAAAGAACACAGAATATTGGGATAATACAAAAGTTGAATTAAAAGCTACAGATAGAACATTCTCCCCCACACAAGACAAGTATGTACCTTGTTTTTAAGCATCCTCAAAGCTACCTTAATCTGTTTCAGAAAGTAGCAGTTTTATAGACCACATTCTTTGATCATATGTTCAATACACCAAATTAATAACAAAACTTTCAAAAACAACCAAACCCCAAAACTCTAGTCTCTAAGAAATGTCAAAAGTACTTGTACCCTGTGGTGCCAGAGTGGTGCAGTCAGTTAAGTGCTTTGGCTCAGGTCATGATCTCTCGGGTTCGTGAGTTTGAGCCCGGCATCAGGCTCTGCGCTTGGGATTCTGTCTCTCCTTCTCTGTCCCTCCCCTGTTTGTGCTCACACGTGTGTTCTCCCTGTCTTTCAAAATAAATACATAAACTTAAAAAAAAAAAAAAAGTATTTGCACATGTAATTATTGTATCAAGGAGAAAATCTTCAACATTAGACTGTTTAGAAAATAAAAGACATTGAGGCTATTAACATATCAAATGTTGTGGTTTGAAGCTAAGGCTATATTCAAGAGTGACTTGATAGACTTAAAGGCCCCGGATTGCCCTAGGGCTTTAGCTGTAATTGTTGTTGACATCCAAAATGGGTGACCTTGATCAAGAACTAAAACTAAGGGAATGTTGGAATGGATCCACTGTAAATTCATGAATACTTTTTTCTTTTCCTTCTCTTTTAATGATTCTGATTTTAAGAGGAAAAAAAAAATCTCATTTGGTCCTTGAGCACGTGCCAACCTCCCTTTTTTATCGTGGAGCCAGCTCGCTATCGGCAGGCTCAGACGGTCCCACCAGAAACAATATTTGGCTGGAATCTGGTAATGCTTGTTTTCACTTTATTTATTTATTTATTTATTTATTTATTTATTTATTTATTTATTT